GCAGGGAGCAGAGCGAAGGAGAAAGGGGCACCGTCAGGCCGGGAGTGGGCCGGAGGCAGAGCAGAGAGCAGAACAAAGGAGAAAGGGGCACCGTCAGGCTGGGAGTGGGCCGGAGGCAGGGCAGGGAGCAGAGCGAAGGAGAACGAGCCACCATCAGGCAGGGAATACGCCTGCAGCCAAGGCGGGGAGCACAGGCCAGAGTGGTGGAGCAGCCACTCACCTCAAGATGAGCTTGCAGTACTCCAGTGCCGTGCGTGGGCAGCCTCGCTTCTCCAGGAAGCTCATCTGCTTGTAGAGGGCCAGGTAGAAGCTCCTAGATCCACAACAGTTCCACATGAATTAGAGCGACACAAAGCAGAAAGCCCTGTGAACAGTGCTGCGGCCGGCACCCGCGCCACCCTGCCCTCCACGCAGTGCCGAGGCTGCCGTTCCGCTCTCTGGGTTCTGCTGGCATTTCCTACGTGCCCAGCACACAGAGATCCGTGCCTGGAGAGGAGGTGAGCACTCTCCTTGTCCTTTACAGAGTTACACACAAATTTGCATACTGAAAATCAAACCTCTTTGAAATCTTTATCTTGATTTTTGTTGACTATTTATAATTTAAGGGGAGAGAGTTAAGATTTCCTGTTACAATTATGACAAATTAGATCTTAATTTACCCTCCAATCTCAACAGTGGCTCACAGCACTGAGGCTGGACACATAAAGCCTGTGACTTCTGCATCCAGGTCCTGGTGGGCTGCTACTTCTGTCAATAGCCCACTGTCCCTTTTATGCCTGGAAATATTATTATTTTATAATCTACCTCAAAGTACTAATAATTTCATTGGAAGAGACAAAACTAACATAAAAAAAACCAGGCCGGGTGTGCTGTCTCACACCTATAATCCCAGCACTTTGGGAGGCTGAGGCAGGAGGATCACTTGAGGTCAGGAGTTAGACACCATCCTGGCCAAGATAGTGAAACCCTGTCTCCACTAAAAATACAAAAATCAGCCAGGCACAGGTGGCGGGCACCTGTAATCCCAGCTACTCAGGAAGTTGAGGCAGGAGAACTGCTTGAACCCAGGAGGTGGAAGATGGAGTGAGCGGAGATCATGTCACTACACTCCAGCTTGTGACAGCGCAAGACTCTGTCAAAAAAAAAAAAAAAAGAAAAGAAAAGAAAAGAAAAGAAAAAAAGAAAACCAGTGGAGAAAATTCACACCCAGCACACAATGTGGACAAACTGTGCAGCAGGGGCGGATGGACCTTGGCTTGCCAGGAGGGCCGAGAGAGCAGGAGTGGATCGCACACTGGAGACACCCAGGGTGGCCGGAGAAACGAGGCGCTGCACACAGGAGAGTCAGGACAGCGGACAGGCTGGTCCACACACCGGACACACAGGACAGTGGACAGAGGCTGGTCCACACACAGACAGTGGACAGAGGCTGGTCCACACACAGGACAGTGGACAGAGGCTGGTCCACACACAGGAAACACAGCACAGTGGACAGAGGCTGGTCCACACACAGGATACACAGGACAGTGGACAGAGGCTAGCCCACACACAGGACAGCCAGGACAATGGACAAAGGCTGGTCCACACACCGGACACACAGGACAGCGGACAGAAGCTGGTCCACACACAGGATACACAGGACAGTGGACAGAGGCTGGTCCTCCAAACAAGTGCCCACAGGACAGGCTGAGGGGGCATTGTGGGAGCCGGTCCAGGTTTGACCAGTGAGGGCTGATGGCAGATGGATGGCTTTAGGGGCACAAGTATCTGGAAGAAGAGAGTGCCACACGTGTGGCCGCCCAGGGCAGTGGAGTGAGCCTCGGGCTGATTCTGAGCTGCTCGATGATTGAAGGTTAAACCTGTAAAGCCTTCCAAAGCTTCTAAACTTGCCAGGGACGGGTTCTTTGGCCAAACATACAAAGAAACGCAATTGCAGAGCCCATCGTGGGGATATGGTTTGTCAGGCTCACCTCTTTTTTTTTTTTTTTTTTTTTTTTTTTTAAGATGAGGTCTCACTCCGGTGCCCAGGCTGGAGTACAGTGGCGCGACCTCAGCTCACTGTGGCCTTGACCTCCTGGGCTTGCTTGAGCGATACTCTCGCCTCAGCCTCTTGAACAGCTGGGACCACAGGCATGTGTCACCAGGCCGAGGTAGTTTTAAAATGTTCAGTAGAGGCTGCATCTTGCCACGGTGCTCAGACTGGTTTTCAGGCAACCCTCTCATCTTGGCCTCCCGAAGTGCTGGGATTATAGGCATGAATCACTGTGCCCAGCCAGGCTTACTTCTAACACGTGCAAATTTATTTTTCTTTTTGTTTATTTATTTTTTAAGAGATGGAAGTCTCATTATGGTGCCCAGGTTGGACTTGAACTCCTGGACTCACCAGACCTCCCACTCCGACCTCCAGAGCAGCATCGGGCATGTCCACAGACAAAGACAAACCTGGGCTGAGCCAATCCAGTCCCTCTATCCTTGAGCCCAGAGAGAGGAAGGCGGGTCATTCTGGGTCTGTGGGCTCTGGTCCAACGTGGTGGACAGTCACGCAATGCCTTCAGCACTGCCCCTGAGCTCATTCGCAGGAGAAGAGGGGGGACAGCTGCGAGCCCCCCAGGCCAGTTGCACTCACCTGTTCTCAGGTCTGCGGTAATCCAGCCGGCAAGCCCCGCTGGTGAGGCTGAACAAGGGGTGGAACGCACACTCCATACTGTACAGCGCTCTCTCTGTGGGCACAGAAACACCAAGGGAGGGTGTTACGGCCACGCACAGCAACCACGGCCCCTGCTCTGATGATGCACAACGAGGAGAGGTCTGGAAAGAAGATCATGAAACTAGAATCCCAGACACTTAGAGGGCAGACATGACCCTGGGCATCCCAGATGCCACTCTGAGTTTATTTCAACCACAGAACTTGTGAGCTTGAGACGGAAACACCTTAAACACCACGAGGCACAACTGCTGCCATGCCCTGGCGGAACCAGGTGTCCACGCATGCAACACAAATGTGTCACAACCTGGCGGAACCAGGTGTTCACACGTGCAGCACAAACGTGTCAGGTCCTGGTGGAAACAGTTGTCCACGCGTGTAGCACAAACGTGTCACGTGCTGGCGGAACCAGGCATCCACGTGTCCAGCACAAACGCGTCCACATAAGACCAGCACGTGCAAGCTCACATCAGCACTATTATTTACAATAGTCAAAAAGCGGAAAGAGCCCAGACAGCAATCAACTAATGACGGATACACAAAACGTGGTCTATCCACACAGTGGATTATTATTCAGCCATAAAAACGAATGAGATTCTGATCCATGTTACAGTGAGGATGAACCTTGGAAACATTATGGTAAATAAAAGCCAGAGACAAAAGACCACATAGTATAAGATTCTGTTTACGGGATACGTGCAGAACAGGCAAATCCACAGGGCAGAAGGAGAACAGCAGCACAAGGGGCTGAGGGGCTTCTTCTGTGGGTAATGAAAATGATCTGAAATTGATCATGGTGTGGCTGGACGACTCTGGCATCTACTAAATACCAGCACACTGTAACTTTCAATGGGTGCCTTTTGTGCTCTGTGGGCAGTGTCTCAATAAAGCTGTCATGGACATCCTGGCAAACCTCCTGCATCCTCTGACATCTCAAACCACCGCATCTGTCTTGATGGCTTGAGGTGCTCCCACAGTTGATGGGAATAGGGTGGGGGACTCCGTCTTACCTACGAGGTCTCGAGCCATCTCCTGATCCTCTTGAAAGCGGCAGGCATCGCTGAGCTGCAGGAGCGAGTCCACGTGATAGGGGCTCGTCTGGAGCAGAACCTACCAGAAGGGAGGACAGGCCTGGAGGAAAGCCACACGCAGCCCTCTTGGGGACAGACACCCAGCAGGGCACCAGCTCCCAGGCATGCCTTTCAGGCATTTAAAACCAGGGGAGGCCAGATGGGAGGCTGAGGCAGGAGGATCACTTGAGGTCAGGAGTTTAAGATCAACCTGCCAGGCACGGTGGCTCTCGCCTATAATCCCAGCACTTTTGGAGGCTGAGGCAGGAGGTTCACTTGAGGTCAGGAGTTCAAGACCAGCCTGGCCAACATGGCAAAACCTGGTCTCTACTAAAAATACAAAAATTAGTTGGGTGTAGTGGCGCATGCCTGTAATCCCAGTTACTTGGGAGGCTGAGGCAGGAGAATTGCTTAAACCCAGGCTGTGACTGAGCCAATGCACTCCAGCTTAGGTGAGAATATGAGATTCTGACTCAAAAAAAAAAAAAGGGCCCACTGCACCCGAACGAGAGGGAGAAAGAAAAGAAAAAAAAAAAAAAAAGAAAACTAAAAGAAAATCTAACAAAAAAAAAAAAAGGGGGGGGAATAAATTCCAGGGGTGACAGTCACAACATCCCCCCAACTCACAATATGCTAGTTATTATTGCTAAGCTGAACCAAGCATCTGACTTAAAGCAGGAACTCAGAACCTGACACGCCCAGGCCAGGGGCTAACTCCCCACTAAGCCCCAAGAATGAGGCGTGGAAGCCAGCAGCCTGCTTTTCCCACAGGGAAGACGGTGAGCTCTCAAAAGCACATTGCCCCCAACCACAGTCCTGAGGCGGCATGGACAGGGATGAGGGTGTCCAGAGAGCGTGGAGGACGACCTCCTTCTGGTTCTGAGGACAGGGTTGGTTAGGATCTCGGGACCCGGGGGCACCAAGCCTGAGGGTTTGTGAGGAGAGGACGCTGTCACTGACAGGTGGACAGGCGGTCCAGAGGCAGGGAATCTGAGCTGCTCCCCTGTGCTGAGCCAGCAGGAGGCAATGGCAGCAGCAAGAGGCCCCGAAGTCCCAGGCCTGCGTCACACGGCAACGGTCTCGAAGAATGGGCAGTGACAGCAGCGCTCCAGGCTCTCCTCGGAGAGTGGACAGATTTCACTTTGCCTAGAGCCTCTGGTCACGGGGCCTGACGGCTCTGCAGAGACAGGCGCCCTTCCTGTTGGGAAGGGCAGGAGGCCGCACATCTACCCCAGTCACCAGGGAAGGACACGGCCCAGTGCGGCGGTGGCTACACGGCCCTGCTCCTGTCGAGCTGCGAGGACCACGCACCACGATGTTGTTGGGCTCCATGGACTCCACCGCCAACAGGAACTTGTGCTGCGCCTGCTGGTACTCCTCACTGTGCTCAAACGCAAACAAGGACAGGCCTTTTTTCGATTCCAGCAGCCGCATGGACAGACCTGGGAGGGGAGAGTGCTCAGGGAGGGTGTGCCGGGAGCAGAAACCATGGGCACCTCTGCAGGGCGCAGCAGCTCCAAGCACTGCCCCCCATCCTGCTCAGGGAGGGCATGCCGGGAGCAGGGACCGTGGGCGCCTCTGCAGGGCGCAGCAGCTCAGAGCACAGCCCCCCATCCTGCTCAGGGAGGGCATGCCGGGAGCAGAAACAATGGGCGCCTCTGCAGGGCGCAGCAGCTCCAAGCACTGCCCCCCATCCTGCTCAGGGAGGGCATGCCGGGAGCAGGGACCGTGGGCGCCTCTGCAGGGCGCCTCTGCAGGGCGCCTCTGCAGGGCGCCTCTGCAGGGCGCAGCAGCTCCAAGCACAGCCCCCCCATCCTGCTCAGGGAGGGCGTACCGGGAGCAGAAACCATGGGTGCCTTTGCAGGGCGCAGCAGCTCCGAGCACAGCCCCCACTCTGCTCAGGGAGGGCGTACCGGGAGCAGGGACCGTGGGCGCCTCTGCAGGGTGCAACAGCCCCCCACCCTTTTGGTGTTGACAAGTCCTCTGCGGTATCAACAAACTTGACCTGAGTGCGCACTCACGCACCTTCCCAGAACACCCACCATCTGGTCTATACCCTGTCTGCTTTAGTTTCCTATCAAGACGTGTTTCCCCACAGAACTCAGATATGGCTCAAGCCTCACTGGCCTGAAGGGAGTGTCAGGGAGGAGGACACATACAGTCCACACAGGTCACCAGATCCGACCAGGCCAAACTCTGCTCCCAGATCAAGTCTGATTGGGGTGAATGTCCAGGGTGGCCATGAAAAGGCAGGGGTGGAGTGCTGTGGTACAGACAGCCACAGCGCTTTAGAACCCATGGCCACCCTCTCTCTCTGCTCCTCATGTCTGACTTTGCTGTACAAGGCCCAGTTTCTTCTGATAAACCTGAAAAGCTCAGCCTCCCAGGAACCCCATGGAATAGGTGCCCTGTAGCGACACCTTCTTGATGGCTCTGCCCAAGGCCTGAGTCCTGCAAGAACTCATGGAGCCCCTGTCTGCAGTGCTCAGGGGTTGCTGCTAGAAAGTGCAGGTGCCTGGAGGACACAAGCTCCCACGAGCAGTGGGGTTCACCTGACCTCCCACGAGCAGTGGGGTTCACCTTCTGACCTCCCACGAGCAGTGGGGTTCACCTTCTGACAGCACAGGCCTCACTCCTAGACACATCCTTACAAATGTGCGCAGGCAACCTCTGGCACCTCCACAGACGCAGGCACAGGAGAGGCAGGTCATGGGAGCCGTGGCTGCACAGACAGCCGCAGCCATGGGCACAGCACAGTCACCATGGGCACACCACAGCTCCTTTCCCCCGGGGCCATCCCTGCCCTGGCCCCTGAGGGCCCCCGCAGTGCACCCACTGCAGAGTGGAGGCCAGCGTGGAGGGCCTCCTGACGCTTCCCCACACCATGCAGCCAAGTACGCCAACAGGGCATCTACGTAGCACTCCATGCCTTTCTGCACTGTTGCAAGTTATCTTTAAATCATGGGCACTTATTAGTTTGCAACAAACAAAATAGTGCAGTTTAAAATTAACTCAATCACTTCTATAAGAAGAAGGTCGATGGCAGCACGGTAGGAAAAACCTGCATTAAAAGATAACCAAACACACAAATACTGTGCCTGGGAAGCTCTGTGTCAGAGGCACCGGGCCAGCCTTTGGCATGCAAGCCCTCAGTGTGGTAATAAATAGTCACACACTGCACCCTGGTGCCCCAGGTGTGAAGAGACTCGGCTCAAGAGGCACTGACACTCCCAGTGCCTGCACTGGCCAGTGCACAGACCCCCCACCCCATAGCCTCTGCAGACCTCCCCCTGGTTTGCTGTACAGACGCTCCTGCAGCCTCTACAGACCCTCACCTGGTTTGCTGTACAGACCCTCCTACAGCCTCTGCAGACTCTCACCTGGTTTGCTGTACAGACCCCCCCACAGCCTCTGCAGACCCTCACCTGGTTTGCTGTACAGACCCCCCACAGCCTCTGCAGACCCTCACCTGGTTTGCTGTACAGACCCCCCACAGCCTCTGCAGACCCTCACCTGGTTTGCTGTACAGACCCCTCTGCAGACCCTCACCTGGTTTGCTGTACAGACCCCCCTGCAGCCTCTGCAGACCCTCACCTGGTTTGCTGTACCGGGGCCAGGTGCTCTTAGGGGTCGTCAGCCATGTGCACTTGGGGTATACGCGCTGTCTCTGCCGTGGCCTGGGGAGAATGCGACATGGTCACAGCTTTACTTTCTGTGGTGTGTGGGGACCTAGGCTTGGCTGCCTGATCCCTGCAGGGACTGTGCAAGCAACACTGAGGGCAGAGAAGGCATGTGGGGCAGGGTGGGGACGCACAGGGACAGGATGCAAATGAGCATCAGCACCTGCTGCTGGGCGGGTGGGGCAGGGAGGCTGGCTCCCCAACGCCCCATAGACAGAAAGAAAAAAGGAAATTCTGGCTGGACACAGTGGCTCACACCTATAATCCCAGCACTTTGAGAGGCCAAGATGGGAGGATTTCTTGAGCCCAGGAGTTCGAGACTGGCCTGGCCAAGATAAGCAAAACCCCATTTCTATAAAGGGTTTTAAAAATTAGCCTGGTGTGATGGCCCGTGCTTGTGATCCCAGCACTGCAGCCTGGGCAAAAATAAGACCCTGTCTCAAGAAGAAAAGAAAAAAAGAAGAAAAACAAAAGAAACAATAACATGCCAATATCCACATGCCGGTCACTCAGCTTAAGAAACCAACCATCTCTGATGTAACAGTAGCTCCATGCCTTTTCCATGTCTCCTTACCTGCCTAGCTGAGATACCATCTGACCAGTGCTTAGGGTTGGCCTGACCCCTGTGGCAGATACCCCCAAATAACAGAGCTCAGTGCACTCTGCCTGGGCACACAGGAACAGGAGAGGTGGGGTGTGGGAGCCACAGCAGCAATGACAGCAGCAGCTGTGCCCCACAATCACCACGGGCACAGCACAGCTCCCTTCCACAGGGCCATCACTGCCCTGACATGAGGGCCCCACAGTGCAGCCACTGCAGAGTGGAGGCCAGGGTGGAGGGCCCTGCTGTTGTCAAGGTGGCCCCAGCCCTCGCTCCTGCCTGCAGCACACGCCCAGGCCTGGCAGAGTCAGCCCTTAACACTCTCATGTGCCACATCTACGAAATTCTAGGGACAGCCTGGCCCACAGGGAGCAGTCCCACAAAACAAGGAAGCCTCCAGAACAGACCCAGCGAGGCAGCCTGGAGCGATGCTGAGAGCGGGTAGGAGGCAGGAGTCTAGAGGAGTCTGAAGGCTGGCAGGCCTTCTCAGCAGCAGGGGTAGTGCCAAGGAGCTGGGGCAATGAGCTGACCCGGCTGTGACAGCAGAAAATCAGGGACCCAGGAAGAAGCATAGCCTATGTTATTCCGAGCTTCTGAGGGAACCACCGCTGGGGGCAATGAGCCGACCCAGCTCACATGGTAGAAAGTCAGGACCCAAGAAGAAGCAGAGCCTATTTTATTCTGAGCTTCTGAGGGAACCAGCAGAAGGAGAAACAGAAGCAGGCCAGGTCTTTGTCTTGGAAGAGCAGGACAAGGGTGGTGGGATGAATAAAAAGATAACTGTGGTTTCTCCATCGAAGTCTTTTGGGAGAACTTAAATTTTTAAAGAAAGAAATATAACAGGCCAGACGCAGTGGCTCACACCTGTAATCCCAGCGCTTTGGGAGGCTAAGGCAGGCGGATCACGAGGTCAGGAGATCGAGACCATCCTGGCCAACATAGTTCCTGTCTCTACTAAAATACAAAAAATTAGCCGGGTGGGGTGGCAGGTGCCTGTAGTCCCAGCTGCTCAGGAGGCTGAGGCAGAGCTGCTTGACCCTGGGAGGCAGAGGTTGCAGTGAGCCGAGATCGTACCACTTCACTTCAGCCTGGGCAACAGAGCGAGACTCAGTCTCAAAAATGAATAAATAAATACAACAAAAAGTATACTACTACTATAAAAATGATAAAAGCAATTATTATCAACTAATTACTCATAAATCAGTATTAATTATACTAATTACTATTAATAATCATAATTGGCAGAAATAAGACCACACAAAAATGTAAAGAAATGGCAAAGGCAGACCAAGCAGATGCAAACAAAGGGTGGGGAGCTGGAGCCCTCAGGCCAGGGAGATACAGGTGACAAAGCAGGCATTCTCAAGTATATTTCTTTAACACAAAAATGTCAAGTAAAATATAAAGCAAAGCCTGTTAGAAATCCAAGGAAAGTCCCAGCACTTTTGGAGTCAGGAGTTTGAGACCAGCCTGACCAACACAGTGAAACCCTGTCTCTACTAAAAATACAAAAATTAGCTGGGTGTGGTGTCAGGTGCCTGTAGTCCCAGCTACTTGGGAGGCTGAGGCAGGAGAATCCCTTGAACCCGGGAGGTGGAGGCTGCAGTGAGCTGAGATCGTGCCACTGCACTCCAGCCTAGGCAACAGCGAGACTCTGTCTCAAGAGAAAAAAAATTAAAAAAAGAAATCCTGGCCGGGCGCGGTGGCTCACGCCTGTAATCCCAGCACTTTGGGAGGCCGAGGCGGGTGGATCACGAGGTCAAGAGATCGAGACCATCCTGGTCAACATGGTGAAACCCCGTCTCTACTAAAAATACAAAACATTAGCTGGGCATGGTGGTGCGTGCCTATAATCCCAGCTACTCAGGAGGCTGAGGCAGGAGAATTGCCTGAACCCAGGAGGCGGAGGTTGCGGTGAGCCGAGATCGCGCCATTGCACTCCAGCCTGGGTAACAAGAGCGAAACTCCGTCTCAAAAAAAAAAAAAGAAGAAATCCAAGGAAAGTGTGAACAAAGAGCACATAAAAATGTCCTCAATCTTACCCATAATCAAAAGGTAAAAGTTAAAACATCAACACTACTTTTTGTCTACACATGGTGATGGATTTCTAAACCCACTACCATCTATCTCAACTAAGAAGATGAAGGAGGACCCTGGGCGGGAACCTGTGTGCAAGCTGCTTGACTTTACTCAAGGGCGACGGCAGCGTGCAGCTCACTCAAAACCATACTCATTTCTAGGCAGTTTCACAGAAATGCCTGCAGACATCGGGGGATTGAGCCAACACCTGTGCAGACGCCAACACCAGGAATACCACGGTGCAGCAACATTGCTTAGGACAGGTCTGGTGGTTCACGGCTGTAATCCCAGCACTTTGGGAGGCCAAGGCGGGCAGATCACTTGAGGTCAGAATTTCGAGACCAGCCTGGCCAACATTGTGAAATCCTGTGTCTACTAAAAATACAAAAATTAGCCAAGCATGGTGGCATTGGCCTGTAATCCCAGCTACTTGGGAAGCTGAGGCAGGAGAATCATTTGAACCCAGGAGGGGGAGCATGCCATGAGCTGAGATCACACAACTGCACTCTATCCTGGGTGACAGAGCAAGACCCCACCTCAAAAAAAAAAAAAAGAAAGAAAGAAACAACGCTTAGAACTCAAGACGTGCAAAACCAGGGCATGACACAGACCAGCAGTCCTCTCTACGGTCCCATAAGATAGAGGACTGGCCAGGCGCGGTGGCTTACACCCGTAATCCCAGCACTGTGGGTGACCAAGGTGGGTGGATTATGAGGTCAAGAGATCGAGACCAGCCTGGCCAAGATGGTGAAATCCCATCTATACTAAAAATACAAAAATTAGCAGGGCATGGTGCCACGTGCCTGTAATCTCAGCCACTCGGGAGGCTAAGGCAGGGAATTGCTTACACCCAGGAGGTGGAGATTGTGATAAGCCGAGGCCGAGGTTGCAGTGAGTCAAGATCATGCCACTGCACTCCAGCCTGGGGGATAGAGCAAGGCTCTGTTTCAAAATAAAACACAAAAAAAGAAAACAGCAGGATTATGTCTGGTTGGGCATGGTGGCTCATGCCTGTAATCCTAGCACTTTGGGAAGCCGAGGGGGAAGGATCACTTGAAGCCAGGAGTTTGACACCAGCCTGGGCAACAAAGTGAGACCTTGTCTCTACAAAAAATAAAATAAAATAAATTAGTGGTAGCACGTGCCTGTAGTCCCAGCTATTTGGGAGGCTGAGGTGGGAGGATCGCTTGAGGCCAGGAGTTCAAAACCAGACTGGGCAACCCAGCAAGACCCTGACTCTACAAAAAGAAAATTATTAAAAAAAAAAAAAGACAAAGACTCTGGACTTTCCAATGCAGAGTCCAGGGGCAGAACATACCTCCTACATAAAGTCCCAGAAGTAGACTCCCCTGCTCTTCCTCCTGTCTGGAGCTGGAAGACCCTGCATTCCTCATCACAGCCAGCCATCCTCACCTACGGCCACGCTGCCCAACCGCTAAGAACTACTGAATGGACATAGATGAAACTTATCTCGGCCAGGTGCAGTGGCTCACACCTGGAATCCCAGCACTTTGGGAGGCCAAGGCAGACACATCACCTGAGGTCAGGAGTTCGGGACCAGCCTGGCCAACATGGTGAAACCTCATCTCTACTTAACAAACAAACAAACAAAAATTAGCTGGGTGTGGTGGTGTGCACCTATAATCCCAGCCAGTAGGGAGGGTGAGACAGGAGAATCACTTGAACCCGGGAGGCTGAGGTTGCAGTGAGCTGGAATCATACCACTGCGCTCCAGCCTGGGCAAGAGAGCAAGAATCAATCTCGAAAAGGAGCCGGGCATGGTGGCACATGCCTGCAGTCCTAGCTACTCGGGAGGCTGAGTGGGGGGGATTGCCTGGGCCCAGGAGCTCTGGGCTGTAGTGTGCCATGCCGATCAGGTGTCCACACTGAGTTCAGCATCAATATGGTGACCTCCTGGGAGCAGGGGACCACCAGGCTGCTTAAGGAGGGTGAACTGGCCCAGGTTGAAAACAGAGCAGGTCAAAACTCCCCTGCTGATCAGTAGTGGGATTGTGCCTGTGAATAGCCACTGAACTCCAGCCTGGGCAACATAACAAGACCCCGTCTCTAAATAAATAAAAAAAAAAATAGGAAAAAAAAAAAAAAAAGAAATTTATCTCAGAACCTGAACTTCACGTTAGTTTTGCTCTGAGAAACAAAACTAGAGAATCTTAAAATTTAACAGCTTTTGAAACCACCTCCCCTCCTTGTTTTTAAGACACAGTCTCACTGCGTTTCCCAGCCTTAAGTACAGTGGTACAATCTCAGCTCATTGCAACCTCTGCCTCCCAGGTTCAAGTGATTCTCCTGCCTCAGCCTCCCAAGTAGCTGGGATTACAGGTGCCCAGCTAATTTTTATATTTTTAGTAGAGACGGGGGTTCAGTATGTTGCCCAGGCTGGTCTCAAACTCCTGACCTCAGGTGATCCACCCACCTCGGTCTCCCATAGTGCTGGGATTACAGGTGTGAGCACCGCACCTGGCTGCAGTGAGCCGGGATCATACCACTGCACTCCAGCCTGGGCGTTTGGAACCTTACACTAGAGACGGCCCCTTACACTGTGAGGGATGAAACCCATCCACCCTGGGCATCCCCACAACCCACGGTCACAGACAAGGTCATACACAGACCATCTGTGGACTCCCTTTCAGATCCCAATTCTGAGGGTAATGTGTGCATCCTGGCTTTAAATATTCTCCCTCCAAGGTCGTTAACTGGCTTCAGGAACACCACCCGCCTCAAGAGTATAAGAGAGAAGGAAGCAGCTGTGGGAACGCAGTTTACTGTGGACTTACCTTTGTTCCCCCAGGACTGCCCGAGCACCAAAATACCTTTTCAGTTCTGTGTCTGGATTCAAGTGTCTAGGGAATCGAAAATTTTAGAAAGAAAAATGAAATTATGTTCAACAATGATTCCAAAAATTTTAGAAAGCCAAGGAAAGATAATAATCAAGGAAAGAAAATAATAATCAAGGAAAGAAAACCGTGGTTTTTGGCTTAAAAGGTAACCTCCAGGCCTACTTTCTTTAAAATCACCACCCAGCCATGGTTGGGGCCTCACCACTGTGGGTACCACAGCGAAGCAGCTGGGCACTATGTGGTGAGGGGCACTTCGGGGGCCGCTGCATAGAGGAAGCCACTGTGTGGGACACACATCAGCTTCTGAGGCTGAGTTAGGGCCGCACACACACCCTGAGACTACATTCGTGTGTCTTAACTGACTCTAGGAGTTTTTTTTTTTTTCATTTTCCCAAACTGATGCAAAATATTTATTCCAAGTTAGTTATTTTATGCAGTAGTTTCCCCCTCAAGACTTGTGATAACCACACCTTTTAAATCTGTAAATAGTTATCAAAATAATCTTAATCTTTGAAATCTCACAAAAATTTATATTTTACAATCCACCCTGAATATCAAGGCTGCAAGAATAACACAACATTTCCTATATCCAAATATTTTACAGCTGTACCCAAAAAGGAAAAAGAAAAAAAACAAAAAAACATAAAACCACATATGCTTGACTTTTTTTTTTTTTTTAAAAAAAAAAAAAAAAAAAAAAAAGATAGTCCACGTAAAGAGAAACCAAAAATAAGCAAGAGTACTCAGATTTTTTTAAACTGGCAATAATTTCTGAAGTAAAGACAGCGATTCATTAAGCATCTATAAGACCAAAAGATGAATAATCATCCAAGGATGACAAGAGAATAAATAACTTTTGACCAGTCATGGTGATTCACACCTGTAATTCCAGCATTTTGGGAGGCTGAGGCAAGAGGATCTCCTGAGCCCAGGAGGTAGAGGCTGCAGTGAGCTATGATCACACCATGCACTCCAGCCTGGGTGACAGAGAGATCCTGTCTCTCAAAAAAAAAAAGGAAAAGGAAAAAGAAGGAACTCTCTAAGATACACAAGAAGTCAAGGTAAAAGTCCTCTGAAATGTGGATGACTTCCTTTCCTCCTCGTTCCTGTTTCCTTTTTTTTGAAGACAGAGTCTCGCTCTGTCATCCAGGCTGCAGTGCAGTGCTACGATCTCAGCCTCGGCTCACCGCAACCTCTGCCTGCCGGGTTCAAGCAATTCTGCCTCAGCCTCCCAAGTAGCTGGGATTACAGGCAACTGCCACCACATCCAGCTCATTTTTGTATTTTTAGTAGAGATGGGGTTTCACCGTGTTGGCCAGGCTGTTCTCAAACTCCTGACCTCAGGTGATCCGCCGGCCTTGGCCTCCCAAAGTGCTGGGATTACAGGCATGAGCCACTGGGCCCAGACTATTTCCTAAATGATTAACAATAAATTCATATTATTTTTTAATAAAGATACCACATTTTCTTTTCCTTTCCTTTTCCTTTTTTTTTTTTTTTTATTTTCTCTTTTCTCTGTTCCTTTTCTTAGAGAATTTTTCCTCCCATGGAATCTCTGTGGCAGCAGCCACAGACAAGGGTGGGGCCGCACCTGTGCTCCACGTAGAGAACGTGCTTCCTGGAGCTCAGGGGAGCTGGGCCGGGACGGTTCAAACCACTGCTGTCCTCAATCCTCTCCAGGATGCGATCAATATCTTCTAGTCCGTTTTCCTAAAAGCCCCAAAACAACCTCTTTATCACCACCCTGACATTATTTTAAATGTTGTAACAATAACAAAATTATTTATTTAAAGAGACCTATTACATTGTATTAGTTTCTAAAGGACAGGATAGGTCAAACACTAGGTACCATCCACAAATTCAGACAAAAGAAGGCATGTTTCATAAGAAGCGCTCAGCATGGACAGAGTCACAGAACCAGAAAGACCATAGAAAAAACTGGGCTGAAAGACCACATTCCACACCTGACAGGTGTGCTCACCTCCTCAGGTAGGTTTGGGACTTGTGGCTCCAACTGATCGGCAACAAAGCCACTCCCTGGTCTCAGGACACAATCAGATGAGGACGAAGGGCAACAATGAAAACACATGTTGTGATGACAGACGAGCTGGAGCGGTGGGTCCTGTGCCACCATCCGATTCACCCATGAGCACAGGACAGATGTCAGGGCAGACAGCAGGTGCTCAGGGCCACAGGAAAGGCAGAACAAGAAGGGACTCCCCCATCAGACCACACACTACCACAGAGACACACACAGAGCAGAGCTCTGACACTCCAAGGAACGAGGGTGAAAACAGGAAGCAGAATTTAGCAAGAATTTTTCCTTTTCTTGTTCTCTGACCTTTTAATTAGTTATACTCCTTTTTTTTTTCTTTTATTTTTAGAGACGGGGTTTCACCATGTTAGCCAGGATGGCCTCGATCTCCTGACCTCGTGATCCACCCGACTCGGCCTCCCAAAGTGCTGGGATTACAGGCGTGAGCCACCGTGCCCGGCCTTGGTTATACTCCTCACGGGAAGGAATACAGGTATTAAATCAACTTCCTTCAATACCACCTTGAGAAACAGGCAGAGAGAATGGAGAGGGCATCAGGCAGAGGGCATCAGGCAGAGAAGCAGACCCAGGCCCAGTCCACATACCAGTGCTTCTCCCGTGCTGCTTTTCTTAGTTTTCTGTTTCTTTTTCTTCTTCCGGAGTTTGCCACTTGCATTAGACTAATGACAGAAACACATTTTAATCAGTGGAAAAAGAAGTAAAATCTGAAGAACTGAAAATTAAAGCCGCTAGTGTGTCTCTACTCTCCAGGCAGCCCCCGTCACCCCCCGACCTCCAGGTGTCCTCAAAGTCCCTTCAGCTCACTTTCTTCTCTCCAGCAGGCACCTCCCCAGCTCTCTGAGCCCCCTGCTCTCATGCCCCTCGGGCTGTGCTTCAGGGGTCCCTGTGCCCAGCCTCACAATGGTTCACAGGGCTGACCCAGCACCCACCCGGCCAGCACCGGCCTCTCCAGCTCCCATTTCTCAATTTGTCAGCCCCTCCCTGTGACACTGCAGTCACCCTGAAGGCTGGGCCTTTGCTGTGCCCCTGACGCCTCACACTGAACCCATATCTGTGTTCCCGACACCTGCACCTGGCCAACCACTTCTGACAGTGTGAAAGCTCCTCAGGAAGCCCCCCCAGGACCCAGGGCCTCCAGTCAGGACCCACGTGTCACTTCACATCTATGTTGCCCTCTCAATCAGAGGTTCCTGGGGACAAAGCCACGTTCCTAGCACCCAGCAGCCTCCCAAGAACACTTGCTGGATCAATGAACCAAGCCCTTCTTTCAGGCCTCTCTTCTGTGCTGTGGAGCACAGCAGCAGGCTGCCTGCATTTCTGCCAACCCCACACTAACCTGACCTGCATGTTTCTTCAAAGTTCAGCGACACCAGCACCCAGATCCATACCCAGGCAAGTGAATGCTCGAGGCACAGTTAGGAAGAACACACGTGTGCACTGACATACCCTGCTGGGCAGGCGCAGACTCTCCTGAATGCAGGAGACGGGTCTGAGGCCTCGCGTGTGGCACCTTTGATGGCACCACTGCTCTGCTGAACGCAGGAGACGGGTCTGGGACCATGTACGTGGCACCCGTGATGCCACCACTGCTCTCCGGAATGCAGGAGACAGGTCTGGGGCCTCATACGTGGCACCTGTGATGCCACCACTGCTCTCCGGAATGCAGGAGACAGGTCTGGGGCCTCATACGTGGCACCTGTGATGCCACCACTGCTCTTACACATTTCATGCAAATCTCACCAAGGTTCCCAAGTAAATTTGGGGGCAACTGGCCATTGAGCAAAACTGAACTCAGAAAATTATACCTCCAAGGAAAATCACAGCACAGAATATATGTAGCTAGTGCCTTGGAACCCTCCTGTCCAGCACCCTTCCTCACCACTCGGCCCCCCACCTGCTCTGGGGGCGCTGTCCTGGCCACGCCTCCATCCGCCTTGGTGTCTATGTTTCCACGCTGAGCCCTTCCTTTGTTCCCCGGTGCCGCAGCGTCTGTGAGCGAAGAGCCAGACCTCTCCCTGTTCACCACAGGGTCATCCTCAAGATCTTCAATGTTTATCTGGAAAAACAGGTTGGAGAAAAGCCAGAGCATTACTTACAGTGTGAACGCTGATGCTGAGATGTGAATAGTACGATGTGAACAGCCTTGCGTTGGGGGCGCCCAGGGTCAGTGTGAGACTCTGTTAGCTACACCAGGGACTCAGCTCGGGCTCTGGGTGACCTCTACAGAAAGCAGGGCCCCGAGGCTCTGTGACAGCTCTGCCTTCAGAGGTGATGTAGGGAAGACTCCTCAAACATTGTAATTCACTCCATTTACAGAGAGCTACCTGCAGGAGAAAACCTTAAATATATATATCCAGCCAATGCATTCAAGTTCCTTCTTCCTCCTTTAGCCTCAAGCCTCAGCTCCTCTCCAGCAGCAGGCAGGGAAAAAAAAACCAAGGACCCATCAACCTACAAACTTTTTCTAATAATGAAAATGATAAGCCAGGTGTGATGCTCATGCCTGTAATCCCCACACTCTGGGAGGCCGAGGCAGGCAGGTCACTTGAGGTCAGGAGTTTGAGACCAGCCTGGCCAACACGGTGAAACCCCATCTCTACTAAAAATAGAAAAATTGGCCAGGCATGGTGGTGGGTGCCTGTAGTCCCAGCTACTTGGGAGACCGAAATGTGAGCATCGCTTGAACCTGGGAGGCAGTGGTTGCTATGAGCCAAGATCACACCACAGCACTCCAGCTCGGGCGACAGAACAAGACTCCATCTCAAAATATTTTTAAAAAAGGAAAAAGAAAATGATATAGGATAAAAATAATTCATACAATGGAACGCCCTCTGTTTTTTGAGACAGGGTCTCACTCTGGCACCCAGGCTGCAGTGCAGCAGTGTGATCTGGACTCACTGCAGCCTTGGCCTCCTAAATTTAAGCATCCTCTTGCCTCAGCCTCCCGAGTAGCTAGAACTACAGGCATGAGCTGTGTGCCTGGCTAATATCTTAAATTTTTTTTTTTTTTTTTGGGACGG